GGCGGATGGCTCCCAGCGCAACCCGTCACCCACCCATAGACCCACCCACTTAACAAAATTCGGGTCAAATGCGGGTGGGTCGGTCCAAACCCGCGAATGATCCGCCCGCATGCCCAGCCCTACTTAAACACCCCACTTTTGTAATTGTATCTACATCAAACTACTTACTTTTAAATTTTTTCCTTTGTTGGTAGATGTAATCCCAGTTCCCAGAGCCATAATAACAACTCCACATCCCCTGTCCCTTTTGTCTTTCGTCGGGTAGTGAAGAACCCTCTCCTCTCTTACTTTGATTATCGTAACAATTCCACATCCTCTTGCTCGTTTATTTTCCCCTGCCCAACCCCTTCCATGTCATAACTCCGCCACTGCTCTATTCTTTTCAACGATGTCGTTTTTTTATTTAACCTGGAACACAAAAAGGCTGGTCGTCACTCCTCTTCTTTCCCATTATCTCCCTCTGCAGACTGCAGTTTCGCCGTTTCGATTCTCAATTCCGGCCGACGAGAAGCGAGCTCCTCTCTTCATTGCTCCTAGTTGCCACCGTCACCACAGTAATCCCACCACTATTTCTCTTCTCCGACAAACCAACTTTACCATCCCAATCATATCGGCGAAGGCATTATAATCCCATCGCCGTCTCTTCTCCGGCAACCCCGCGTTCCGTATAGACCCACATCCCACCGAAACCCCCATCCCTGATAGCTATTGAACAATGGACGGAATAAGCTCTTCCCTCTCCAGTCAAACCCATTAAACCCCGCCACCGCCTCCATCGAATTGCACCCTATGCTCGAAAATCCTGACCAACTGAACCCCCTCTCCACCTGAGCTCGGGTGCCGCTCTATGGACCCGCTGCCGGAGAAATAGATGAATCTTTGATTCATTAATTATTTCGAGGAAAATTGATTCCCTTGGTGATGACGGAGTAATTAGGGGTAGTTGGGTTCCTTGATGACGATGGTGAAATTGGGGTAGCGTTGAGTGATGAACTGATGATGTTATTAAGTGGAGATGGTTTCTATTGATGATGATGGCCTTTCATAATGGGGTCCGTATCAGGTTGATGAGGTCGTTTGCTTGATTGTTTTCCGGGTTAATGATCAATTCATAAATTTAATGGACGGTGAATTATATATATATTTTTTGGGTTGAATAATAAGTCTCTAAGAAATAAGGTATTATAACTTCCAAATGTAGTAATAAACATTATTGAGGGATTATATTGCACGTATAATTATTTAAAGGGTGATGTTAGTAATTATAATAATTAGTAAATAAATAATTTTATTATAATTAATATACATCGTCAGATTAGATCAACGGTCTAGAAGCCTGGCACATGCTATGTGTCAGGAGCATACGAGTCGTATCCATATATATATATATATATATATATATATATATATATATATATAATAATAATAATAATAATAATAATAATAATAATAATGTTAGGCTTATTAGCAGGGTTGGGCGGCTAGGGTAGGCCGATTAGGTTAGGATTAGTTTATTAGGGTTTTGGGTTTACTTCCTATAAATATATACTTTGCGTTTACGTCAGAATCAATCAAGAATAGTATTAAGCAAAGTATCCTTCTAAACCTAATTTCTCTCAACTCCTAATTTCTATCCTCTCCTAATCCAAGGCCTCGGTCGATTCCCAATTCTATCCTGTTCCCTCTCATCTAAATCCCTAATTCCCTAATCTCAAACCCTAAATCTCAATCTCACGGGTGCCGAAGATCAGTCCCTAGAATCCTTAACAAGAGGGTTCTTTCAGTGGTATCAGAGCCTGGTTGCAGGCACTCGTACTGAAACTATGTCAAGCTTCGAACTATCGATCGAAGAAATAACACGACGGCTCAAAGAAAGGCTAGCCGAACTCAACAGAAGCAATTTTAGCACCGCCAAGCCTCCGACCAGAGATGCGGTCGCCGTTTCCCCTAGGCTTGCGATGGCGCCGCCATCTCCATCATCAAGAGCCTCTTCCCTACCTGTCGAAGCCGCTGCCGAGATCCTCGAACAACCGCAGCCTGTGGTGATCACCGCTGAGTCGCCGAGGAGGGAATCGCCGCGGATAAGACCGCCGATGCTTCAGAGGAAGGAGAAGATGTGCGGTGGCGGGATCCCCTCTCCACCGAAGAAGAAAACACAGCGGGGGAATCTTGCGCCGCTAGAGAAGAAGGGCGGTGACTTCTCTCACTTTTGTGAAGCCACGGCTGGCGATACGACGAGGCGAGAGGCGGTGGGCGGCATAGCGAGTCTGCCTTCCTGCAGCGTGAACATCCCGTTGACGGAGACCGAGACGATGAGCACCGAGACGAACTTAACTCCCTGCCGCCTGACGATTCCGTCGCCGGAGAAGGAATAAAAGAAGAAGAAGAAGCAGGGCGACGACGTCTTCTGTCTCTGGAATCCTAGGACCTCGGTTCTGGCTGAAGAGAAGCCGAATGCGAGGTCGGCAGCAAGCTTGCCTCCTCGCTGCGGGATGGCTCTATCGCTGAAAAACAAGTTACAGGAGGAGGCAGATCAGAGGCCGAGGGCAAGTCGTTCCCTGCCGGTCTGTCTGACGCTGAAGAAGAAGAAGAAGAAGAAGAAGAAGAAGAAGAAGAAGAAGAAGAAGAAGAAGAAGAAGAAGAAGAAGAAGAAGGAAGAGGTCGCGGTTGCTAAAGCATCGCCAGAGAATGAGGCGAAGCGGCTGTCGCCGAAGAGGAAGTGGCCGGCAAAGGAGCCCCACGGCGATCGACGACGCAAAGCAGAGCTGGGCCGAGGGATTGGCTCCTCGACGGTGGGCGAGATGGAGAAGAAATCGGCGACGGACGAGAGGAAGAGGGACGGCGGCGACGGACCTCTGCTCCCGAACAACGCGCGACGGTTTTTCCCCTGGCACGAACAGCAGCAGCAAAGGGGAGGTAGGCCAAGGGGAGCAGCTGCTTACCCCTACTGGGTCAGGCCCGGAACCAAAGTGGATGATGAGCCAAATCTCCGTTGGGCCGAGAATGAGAAATGGGCCCATCGATTTGGGTCATAAGTTGCAGTGTGTGAAGAGGAGAGAGCCGAGTTGGGCTGGGCACGACTCGATCCTGTGGTCTTCCAAGAGGAGCTTAACAAGAGCTCTTTTGTATGAGTTTGAGCCGAAATCAACATGCCCACTTGAAGAGGAGAAGAAGTCTGCCAGGCTTGGCCAACAAAGTGGGCCGAACCAAGTAAGACTTGGGCCACACAATTGCTCTTTTATTGGATCTGTTTTGCAGGGAAAGAGTGAGCCCCATGTGGGTTGTGTCTTAAAGAAGCCAGGCTTGGAGGAGGTCTTTATGTTGTTGGATAGGCTTGCAAGAGAGCAAGGCCCAAACGAATTTGAGAAGAAGAAGAACACAAAGGAGCTTGCCAATGATTTGGGCCACACCTCTTTCTTTCAAGTATTTGTGGGCCAAATCAAGGATAAGAGAAAAGAAGATTGGGAAAAGTTAGAGCTTAAATTCGCCACCAAGACCATAGAGGAATTTATGGAGCATTCCATTGAAGATCTCAAGGTGGGTAATGATGATGGGCAAAATGAAGAACTATTCTCCGATTCTTATTTCGTTGATTTCGAAAAGGAAGATGGTGGATTGATCGGCTATGAAGAACGTGACACATGTCACGTGGGTGGAGGAGAGTCGAGGAAAGTGAGACTGGTGCGAGAAGAGTTCATTCAAGGGATTGAGCGCAATTGGAAATGAAGAAAGCGGAAGGTCAAGAAGACGAAAGTTGACTGCAACCTTGAGGACAAGGTCGCTTTCAAGGAGGGTGGAATGTTAGATATATATATAATAATAATGTTAGGCTTATTAGCAGGGTTGGGCGGTTAGGGTAGGCCGATTAGGTTAGGATTAGTTTATTAGGGGTTTGGGTATACTTCCTATAAATATGTACTTTGGGTTTGCGTCAGAATCAATCAAGAATAATATTAAGCAAAGTATCCTTCTAAACCTAATTCCTCTCAACTCCTAATTTCTATCCTCTCCTAATCCAAGGCCTCGGTCGATTCCCAATTCTATTCTGTTCCCTCTCATCTAAATCCCTAATTCCCTAATCTCAAACCATAAATCTCAATCTCACGGGTGCCGAAGATCAGTCCCTAGAATCCTTAACAAGAGGGTTCTTTCACTACTGGTGGTGGAAATTACTGGAGCTCAGTCACCACCTCAATCGCCAAGGCGGTGTCCAAACTTCCTGGCAGATCTACAGAGCAGGAGAGAGTCGATGGAGAAGAAGAGAGATGGATTTTGATGTCTGGGTTGCGAACTCCAAAGAAGAAGAAAAGTAGATTGGAGGTTGGAAAAGAGATTGCCGGAAAGATTCAAGAAGAAGGGGGAAGATCAGAAGTTGGAAGAGAGATTGACGGGGAGATTCAAAGAATAAGGGTAAGATTGGAGGTCGCGCTTCCGGAAGGAGTAGCGGCGGGGAAGGGAAGAAACAAAGAGCCTAATAGTTTTCTGGTTTTATTATTATACTATTTTTTCTTTATAATCCACGTCGATTAGTGGGGTAAGTCAATTCAGATTCTTCCGTTAGTCCAGTCATACCGTCAACTGACGCCGTTAACAAAATGGACGGAATTGGCTATTTGTAATTTGGATAATTATGACTATATTTGTAACAAGTATGAAAGTTATGACTATATAACTGTATTTTGTGTTTTCGAATAATTATAACTATATTTGTAACAAGTGTGAAAATTATAGCTATATAAGTGTGCCTATAGAAAAAACAGTAGAGAAACACTAATACCGAAAACATTGTTGAAGGAGGAGTAGGGGAATCGAACCAACTATATCTGGGCATTTAATCAAGTATATTACCGCCAGGCTGCATTGTAAATCATTTGTGACTTTTGTCTAACTTTAATATATTTATAAATTACCTGGGGGAATGGGCCCCATCCGCCCCTGCAATACGGTGTCCAAACGAAACAACGCTCGTTCATTGAACGAGAGACAGTCGCCAGTCGGAAACAAAACAAACCACCGCGAGTCCGTCTCGTCTCGTCGCCTCCAATTCCAAAAAACCCTGGTTCGCCCAAGGTCGACGGCCTCACCGCCGTCTCTCTCCATCTCGAACCCACCTCGTCACCTCCAAAAACCACCGCGACCTCGTCGCCTCCAATTCCAAACAACGCTGATTGTTGTTTGCCCCAAAGTCACCGTCGGCGGCGCCATCGCCGCCTCCTAGTCTGAAGTACTAAAGTCTCAGGTAATTTCCTTTCCCCCTTCCAGTTCCAGTCAGATTCCCATGTGGAACTCAGATATACTGCATCTCTTATCCTCTTTATTTCACCCCTTCTGGTGTAAGGCTACTTCTTGTGTTCCTTTGCACACGAAAATTTGAAGAATCAGCGTCAGATTCTGATACAAACATGGGAAGTGCCTTCACTATAAAGCACAATCATTGCTACTTTTCCTATCCGGTGATGCAAATTACCTGTTTAGCATGTTGAGTTCCGTCGCAGTGTATTTTACCGTCAGGTGTCAAGCTTGCTTGATATTCTTTTTACCCATCAATATAAATTTCTTCTGTTTTGATAGCCTTCAAATTTCAAATGCTGCTTTCGAGCTTTCAGATTTCTAGACTATCTATGGGCATAACTTTGATGAGGTTTCTTGGGGGCTTTTCCTCTTCTTTCCCCTTGCAGGGACAACAGAAGTTATTAGTTTTATAAATCATGGGAGATCGTAGGAGATGTTTGTCGCCTTTAACCTCATCAACCTTTCACTGCCCCAAGCCTGATGTCAATCCATTGTCAATTGACTCAGAACTCTGGTTAATGGCTGAGCATAGAATCTTTGAGATTTTGTGTTGTATTCAACCTGCTTCGGCATCTGAGAAGAAGAGGGATGAGGTTATTTCATATGTTTCGAGGTTAATTAAAGCTCATTACAGAAGTGAGGTGAGACTTCTGTCTGAACTTTGTAGATTGTCCTTTTTCTTTCAGTTCCTGTAAATCATCTCTATCCGTTAGTTTTTTCTTTGGTTGGTGATGTTGCCGACAATATTGAATCTGGGTTGGAATGGAAGTTTTCATTCCATTATCACTAGGACAAACTTATGGGTTATATGTCCTTCCTTTTAGTTTAACAAGATTGATTTTGGATGTTGTGTTCCGCAATTAGGGGTTTACATGTTGGTGATCTCGATTCTGATACTGAATCATCCATGCAGAGTCTTTGCTTCTCTTGTTCTCAAAATTGAAGATTACTAAGTAGTACCACTAGTAGTCTTTGAATGATAAGAAATTGGCCTGCAGTGATTGATTGGCTGGCTTGTTTTAAATTATGTGTTCACAGAGAACATACTAAAGTCGGTACAGTTTAACTTCCGTTTGCTTATGAATTTATTCATATGTCTTTGTGTTTTATTATCCTTTATTGCTGGCTCCTTATCTAATGGTTGGCTTCATTTTCCTATTATTTGGGTGTTAGTTTTTTTTCTTCTGTTAACGGTGTAAGTGATTGTACTGTATTGCTGAAAAGCTTGGATATGTCTTCCTTTACTAGATTCGGCTTAAAAAGCATTGTCTAAATGTCAGCGCTTGATGACCCTTTTTTACAGTTCGTTTGTTGTGGCTTACTAGATTTGGCTTCAGAATCTTTTCCTAAAACGCAACACGTGATGTTACAGTTTTGTATTTTATTTAAAATGACTCAATCGCTAGGGTTGTTTCTCGTGCTACTCTTTTTGTGCGTTTGCTAGTATTTGATCATGCACAATTCCAGTTAGATTAGAGTTTATTTATTTCTTTAGAAAAAGGGGGCTTCCTTGTGTATCTGACATACATCCCAAAATTTACTTCTTTTTTATGTCTGGTTTGACTCAACAGATGAAGGTATAGGAAATTCTGTCACATTTATTTTTTTAATTTTCTTGTGGAAATTAATGTTAGAGCTGCAAAGACATGCAGATTATTCATTGAGAAATATTTGGTTATACTTTTGCCATCTTTTACAGGTTTTTGCGTTTGGATCGGTACCCTTGAAAACCTATCTACCAGACGGAGATATTGACCTGACTATACTCAGCCACCAGAATACAGAGGAAGGAATGGCTGAGGGTGTGTCTGATATCCTCCAGGGTCATGAGCACGACCCAAAATTCGATGTGAAGAATGTCCAATATATAGAAGCTCAGGTTAACTTTCTGCTCTAATCACATGCGTTATACTGGATCTTTAGTTTGCTTATCCACCTGAAGTTAAATATCATGGTGTTAGTACAAGAACAAGTTTTCTTTGGACTTTTTTGTCATCCCTTGCTAGCTTTTGATTTTCTTAGAGCCTTATACTTTTTATTCCTTTTGTGTTGAATCAGAACTCTGTTTTTTGCCATACCTTATTAAACAACCTTGGCATGGGGTCTAGTTCATGCAGATATATCACAAATCTTATGACAAAACATGGTTATGAGGGAAACTCACAACGACATCTCTTTCTGCCCTCCACCTTTTTTTTCATTCCCACTTGTGACTGAAAAAGGGCAAGCTTGAATTCACCGTTTTGCTTAAACTCCTGTGGGGTCTTTGCTTATTCATCAAGTTTCTGCAGTCCTTCCCTTGTATGTTGGGAGCAAACTTGTTGATCCTGACATTTGATAACCCAAATTATTATGTCTCTACTTGTGGCTGGTGATATTCCTATGCCCTTTGAAAAATGCGGTCGACGAATGGTATTCATTCACCTACCATTCAAAAATTACAACGGAGTACTTATACAAATAAGATATAAGCGAAGGGCGAAATTATACCAATAGTCCACCAAATTTATTTATATCGAAAATATCATGTGATTAGCGGCAGGTTTAAGGCTTGTGAAGTTCTACAGAACTCGACGTGAAACATGGATGTTGTGGCTTTACTAGATTTTGTTTTGGCTTTACTAGATTTTGGCAAACGTGCATGTTTAAAAAACTTGGTTGCCGGTCATACTAGCTTATTTTAACATTTGGCAGGAGAAGTTTCAAGTGATTATGGGTACAGTTTGTGACGTTTACAGAGAAATCAGAAAACAAAACGTTTTACCATGCACTTTAGTTAAGTATATAGAGCAGATATCTATGTTTCCCCAAATGATTGCAGAAACCTAGAAAAATTTTCAGACTTCCTCTTTTCCCATCAGACAGCATCACTGTCGGAGTTAGTGGTGACTGGAAACCAATTGTGAGTTGACTTTTCGAATTGGCAAACACGAGTAAGAATGCTTCAATGTTAATCTTAACGAGTAGGGCTACTACTGATAAGATTTATTCAAGTTGTGGCTGTTTTTTATTTCTGCTAGTGGTGCTGTATTTCCATTCATAATCTCATCCTATTGATGCATTGTACAGAGGAAGGCTGAAGCCCTGTTTCATTAATTGATAATATTTCTGGAAGCAATAACTTTTTGTTCACTCTACCTACCTTCTGCAATGATCACTCTTCATCATGCAGTTCGTTTAGACTTGAATTGACATCAGTGACTTTCCAGTAAGCAACCATGTCATAAAGCTTGATATATCTTTTGGCGGGATTATGGCAGGTCAAGATCGTAAAGTGTTTGGTGAATGACATCTCCGTGGATATCTCTTTCAATCAAATGGCAGGTCTTTCCGCTCTCTGCTTTCTGGAGCGGGTAAGAAATGGCAAACATTAGATCCAATTTTGAAGAGTACGATAGCAGTAAATGTCTTGTACTGACATGTTTAGATTTCGTCCTTTACTGTTTTGTTGTACTTGCTAAACTCTACCCATCTCAAGCATTTGGGCTGGGGGGATTTCGTCCAAGATTGGCCTTAGCTCTACTCATGGTTGCATACGGAATATGTTAACTGATGCCTTATCTTGTTTTGCTGGAAACCAAAAAGTCATACTGCAAAATCTTAGCTTCATAATTCGACTTTCTTTGAGATGATAGGAGGCATTTCTTATGTTAATTAGTATCCTGTGAACTTGTAAAAATATTCTCCTTGCACCACTACTGTGGTTGCTCATCCCAAACTTTCCCAAAACCTCAACATATCCTTCTGTTATGGAACTATTTATTTTCCCAAATTATATATTCTGACGTACATTTCATTTCAATTGTTTCTCAGGTTGACCAAATTTTGGGGAATGATCATATTTTGAAACGAAGTATTATCTTGATAAAAGCCTGGTGCTTTTACGAGAGCCGAATCCTTGGTGCATACCATGGATTGATTTCAACATATGCTTTGGAAATATTGGTTGTGCATATATTCAACCTGTTCCATTCGTCCTTGAGTGGTCCTTTATCAGTGAGTGACATTGTAGACTCACCTAATTCTGTGTCTATTTACTGTTCTGTTAGTGATTCGACCTTGGTAATTGTTCCAGGTTCTGTATAAATTTCTGGACTACTATAGCTCTTTCGACTGGGACAACCATGGGGTGTGCATAAATGGCGTATTTAAAATATCTTCTCTTCCAGATATAGTGGGTAAGTCTTAAAATCATGAGGAGAGGTGGTCTCGGTACTTACACAGGTTCACTAGTGATTTGTCTCTGTTTACTATTTGGTTGCAGTAGTGGTACCTGCAGAGAATGGAAGTCGATTGTTGCTTGGGCCTGACTTTTACAACTACTGTAAAGAAACATTTGCTATTCCTGTTAAAGAACTTGACAGTGGGAGGCATGATTTTGTTGTTAAGCACATCAACATCGTGGACCCTTTAAAAGACAGCAACAACTTGGGGCGAAGTGTTAGTCGAGGTATGCGATTTATCCAATAATCATGTGGCATATGCCTACATTCTGAGGCATCTATTAGCCTCTTGCAAGAACGAATGAGGTTTTCAATTTCTCTTTTGTTGATTTGCCACAATGACACGAACCTATATATTATCCTGATTACAGCCTACTTTTTTCTAGTCATCAAGTCATGAAATGACATTTGACCTTCATGGCTTCTGAATACCTCCAGATATGGAAGAAAATATCCTGTTTGTCTGCGGTACAATACTGTTTGTATAAAGTCCTTCAGACTATTTTTTCCCAATACAGTACACTGTTGCATTCATTTACATGTTTGGATGACATACAAGAATATTGGGTTATTGCTTGGTACACATTTTGAAAATTATTAGGCGATTTCTCGTCAGATTACATGTTAAGCTTTTTCGGGTTCCATTTCCTTCCTTTGCTAGGCAATCTCCACCGGATAAAATGTGCCCTTTCCTTTGGGGCTCAGAAGCTTCGAGGAGTCCTCAACGGACCAGGAGAATATATAGGCATGGGATTGGAGAAATTTTTTGCTAACACTCTAGGCAGGAATGGGACAGGACAAAGAGCTGATGCTAACAGTCCAGTACCTGCATTTGGCACTGGAAGAAGTGACGCATGTGATCTCAATGGAGACTACGACAGATGCCATAGTGGTCTGCTGCAGGGGCAGTGGTATCACAATTACAGACTACCGGATCATTTTCATAACATTCCTTCAACCCTGCTGTCTCCTTCAGAAATCTTGTCGAAGAAGAGTCAAATATTTTCTTGGACTGGGCAAAATGGTCATCCTCAGAAAGGCACCAAAGCATTTTTGCAACGAGGGCTGCCAGGGCTTTGCCCTTGCCCTTCAAAACGCTGTACTACTGGCATTGATGGGTTAGGAAATTTAAGAGGTACGGGCACATACATTCCCGATATGGTAAGTCTAGTTTCTCCCACTGTTTATAGATAGTAGCATAAAGTTACCTGCCTTATCTATTTCAGTGAAACAGTAAAACTCGGTTGGTGCAGGCTCGTTACAAAGAAATATGGTCCAGGATGAAGAGCCTGGAGAATCAAGCTTTTCTTAATCAGGGAGCACCATGTCAATCTCCTGAGATGACTTACCAAGTCCTTGCTCAAGCTGAAGCTAACAGCTGGATTGATCTCCGACCAGAGAGTTTCCCTTTGCTTCCCTCTATCAACGGATCATCCAATTTATTCAGTGGTAACCAGGTGCATCATGTTGGTGATCATGGCTTTTTGCATCATCTCACCGACGAGTCTAGTTCCTCTTCGGGGCAAACAGATTTCAGGACTTCCAGTGAATCATCATCATCATCATCGTTCTTTCCAGCATCAGACCCAGAAGCTTCATTGGTTGGTGGGGACCAAGTTGATGATTCTCATTTCTCATCCAGTTTGGCTTTTTCTATGACAGAACACGAGAAACTGGAGGAATTAAGGTATGGAATTGTTTCTTTGAGAGCATTTTATTTATGTAGTGCAATCCTGAACTCTCTTCTGCTCTCTCCTCCTGGATGTTGTTGAGCTCTATAGGGTTGCAAGAGAAGAAGAATACTGTCAATTGAAAGAGGAGGATTTCCCTCCCCTGCCCAGTTATGTGGTTGAGCCCAATAGTGTTGCAAGAGAAGAAGAGTGCCAAATGAAGAACCTGGATTTCCCTCCTCTAGCAGGCAATTCTTTGGTTGTACCCTGTCGGGTTACAAGTGAAAAAGAGTACCCACTGGAGAACCAGGATCTCCCTCCTTTAGTTCGCGTCTCTGTGGTTGAGCCCTGTAGGGTTACAAGAGAAGAAGAGTATCAACTTAAGAACGACGACTTCCCTCCTTTGGTAAGCAATTGCGTTGTGAAGCTGTGCAAGGTTGCAAGAGAAGAAGAGTCGCTTCTGAAGGAGAAGGAATTCCCTCCTTTAGGCATTTCTGTAGGGCTGCAGGAGAAGAAGAAGAATTTGTACTGAAGGAGGATAATGATTCCTCTCATTTAGTAAGCAAATGTGTGAGCCATTACGATGAGTGGCTTGAGGAGTTGAAAGTTGGAGCTTCAGTCCGGACAGAAAAGTAGGGGTACGACCTAGAAGCGGTCATTTTTCTTGTTGCAGTTATAATTTTTCTCGTCTTCTTTGTCGAACCCATGAGAGGCATGCTGAATGGAAGCTGATTTTCTCCCAATTCCAGCTCATGTAGAGAGATCTTAGGGAAATACAATTCTGATTAGCTATCAGGTAAGCTCAACCCTGGTTTTTCTTTTGTTACAGGCTAGCGGCAGCAGTGATGTTTGTTTCAGTACACTGATTGAATGATTGATTATGGAGATTGAATTGCATGGGGTGTGGTTGGGGTTTGGATTTGGTTATAAAATGGTGCTTGGCAGTGGAAACAAATCCCTCAAACTCGCTGCAATTTCTTCATTTAGTGGCACCTCTCATCACTAGTCACCCACACCCACTTGTAATGAAACTCCCAGCGACTTATCTAATTTAGTGGCACCTCTGATCATTAGCCACACCTACGTGTAATGAGAAATTAAATGAATTGGAAGGTTAGTGGTTTATATTCTCGAGGAATTATTGGCTACACCGGGAGCACCACGTTGGCATATGCTGATTTGGTGCTCCCGGCCTATTAAAATCCGCCACGTGTTCAGCTGCAGGAATTAATTATTTTACGGCTTAATTCACTCCTCTCTCATAATTATCTTCAGTTAATACTAACAATTAATCCACCCCTCTCTCTTTCATGCGCATCCTTCTTCTTCCGCCATTAATTTTTTTTATAATCAACTGAAATAATTTTCTCCTGCTTGTCTTACCAACTAATCCTCTTCTTAGCTCCGACGAAACAGCCACCAAATAACAAAAGCAAAGTACGAACTTCTATTATCGGCTCAGTGACTGTGTTGCCGACTTGCTGCTGATGGAGCTGTAGAAAGAGTCTAGCTTTCGGTAGTGGATTTGAAAGCATGGACATATATGACAAAAGATTCAATTTATTTGCAAATGCAAAGTTTTCTGAATTGGTCTATAACTTTAAAAATTTTAATGGCGGAGTTTTACTCGCCGGCCGCACGTTGGGACGGAGATTGGAGAAGACAAAGGTGCATGAGAGAGAAAGAGTGATTAATTAGTTAGTATTATTATATTATTTGAAGAGATTTATCAGAGATGGTAATTGGGAATAGATAAACCGCAGAAAAAATTAAGCAAGTAATTAATTCTGGTAGATGGACACGTGGCGTATTTTAATTGGCCGGGAGCACCAAATCAGCATGCCAACGTGGTGCTCCCAGTGTAGCCAATAATTCCTCTATATTCTCAATTAGAAAATGGCACCATCCACCTTGAATATATAATTTAACATATGTTGGAACTTGGACGTTAATGACATTGATATATGAGAGTACGAATTGGTAATAATTGTGTGGACGATTTTGCTTGTATTCCCCTGTCCTTGGAGGTAGAAGGTGCGCGAAAGAAAACGTTTATTGATCTCTACTATAACAGATTTACCACTTTATAAATTTGTGATATTATGAGATTGATTTTCCAATTTTCCTTCGAATGTCTAGCACGTCTAGGCAATGCTTAAACAGGGCTAGACACTAGTCAAGCGTCTAACGCTCACCTAGTGCTTTTTTGACCTTATAGATTGACCATTACCTTTCGAGCTTATGTGTGACATCAACTGATAAAGGCTCTATCCAAGAATTAGGGATTAAGAGAATCAATGTGAGGTTGATCTCACTAAATGAAAGAAAGAAGACTTGGAAGGGAAGTTTGTAGAAAGGAGTTAGCGGAAGGAAGAAGAGAGTTCGGCAGAGAAGGGGGAAGAGGGTCGGCCGACTGGGAGGGAAGAGAGAGAAAACTTAGGATTTAGGGTTTAATTCGATAACTGTTTAATGAACTATCTCACTAATTACAGGATATATAATATCCCGCTAATACCCTTCTACTCCCTCGATTTTTGGAAAAAGTCCAAGTGTACCACTGTTAAAAAAGATTACAAATATACCACCTAAATCGAAAAAATTCCAAATCTACCACCATTATTTGAAAACCGCCACCTTTTCATATGAACCGCGTGCTGAGGTCGCGGTTTATGGGATAACCGCATGGGGAGGAGGCTTTTTTTTTTGTACAATCCGCCCTCTAGAAGTGCGGTTCATTGGCTGCCCCCACACACAAACCGCCTCTTCAAGGAGTGGTTCTTCGTCGACAATAGAAACCGCTCCTTGAGGATGCGGTTTGATAGTGTCGATACACAAATCGTTCCCTCTCCCAGCGGTTTGTGTGTCGTCACCATTCCCCCGACATCCGACATGCAAGGGGTGGGGCTGCATGCATGCAGACTAAAATCGCCCCCCTCTGCGGTTTTTTGTCAAAAATTTGCCTATAAAAGGCAGCCCTGAGAAGGAGGCGGAGGTAATTCTGGAGATGGCCAAACATCTGATATCCACGGTGGAGGTGGATTATACGAAGATCATCCCTACCAAAGTTACCATTATCCTCGTACCTACCATGAGTACCAGGAAGGAGGTGGAGGTCATCAGCAATCCTTCCCATCATTTGCAGAAGAATCCTTGATTCGGGCCTAATTGCACATGTTTTGCCCCCGTTATACTTAGATGTTTGTGCCAAATTCGCTCCTTAAAGGTTGTTTTTACGCTAGGTTCTTCGTGTTTGAGTGTGTTTCAGGATTTAACAGGTGAAACCAGCCTCAGAGTCGAAACGTTGGCGAAAAGAATCGAAAACCGGGAGAAGAGGTGAAAAAGAGCTAGTTCACGGCTAATTGAAGGAGTTCACGATCGTGCAAGACCGTGAAGAAGAGGAGTTGACTGTGAATAACGAGGCGTCCAGAGCCAATGTGAAGGTTACTGACGCAAGGTGAGTTCACGGTCACTAAGACCGTGAACACAGGCAATTGACCGTGAACAGACGTGAGAGATGCGGAGTGTTTTGGCGCTCGCCTTGAGTTCACGGACGCGTTTGATGGTTCAAGGCCGTGAACTCAGCTCATCTCGGGTTTAAAAGATGAGTTGAAAGGAGGAGAGAGGAGAGAGCCCACTTTTGTGTGAAACACCTTCTTCAACATTCTAGTGAGAGAAACAGAACCAAAGGGAAGAAGAAGGTTAGAGTTTGGCTTCAAGGCAGATTTTGGGAATATTTCCCCCAAGGAAAGCTTAACTCAAGGGTCAAGAAGACTGAGAGCATCCTCCAAGATGGTTTCCACCTTTTCCCCTTTTGTTCTTCCCACTTCTAGCATGGAGTAGACCTCCTTTCACTTGGGTGTAGTGAAACCTAACTCTAACATGTAGTTTTCTTGTATGTGTTTTGGATGACTGTCATTGGGTATTGTTAAATTCAATGATTAATGCATTATTCACCATGATTGTGCATGCTTGTGCTTAGCAACTTAGGGGTTGTGCATGTTTTGAGCTTAGCATCCTTAGGTTTGTGCATTTAGGTGCTTAGCAACCTAAGAATTGTGCATAATTGTGCTTAGCACCCCTAGATTTTTGCATTTACGTGCTAATAATCTAATTTGCCACCTTAGCCTAGTTTAGAGAGGAAAATTCCCCTTTCAAGGGAGACTCAATCGAATTGGTTTTCATTCCGCTTTCTAAGCCACCTAAACTAGGTTAAGTTAGGGCGACCCTCAATATTGAGTTAAGCAAGTCGATTATGCGTGACTAAACCGTCCGACCTTAGAGTTGAGTGACGGAGTAAGTCAAATTACCGATTCTCTAAAACGAGAGGGTCGAGTGACACGGCCTTTCATCCTTACCTCGGTTTAGCAATTGAGATGCGGTCTCCGACCACATATGCATCCCTCTGCGATTCGCGATTATCGTGCCCAAAGGCATCGTTCCAATTCACATAGCATGGTAGCGGTTAGGGGGAAGCGACACCCAAGTGACTTTCCCACAAAAGAGTTTTCAAACCCAATCACCTTTGCTTTCTTTTATTTCAATTAGCAAACCTTTAAACCAAAGTTTTGTTGCTAGATAATGATTTCAACAACGAAAGTAGGGATAGACGGACCGGCCCGGGTCGATATCTAAATACTTGCCGTATACTGCACCCGATTAGAGTTTAAAAACTTGGGCTCTAATTGGGGTTTTATTGTGGTGTAGTTTCATGCGAGTCAAATTTATGGCGCCGTTGCCGGGGACTACGCTCTGTTATTCTGAAAAAGTTGTTTGTTGTTAATCTTGCTTTTAATTTCCAGTTTTGCAAGTGTGTGTTCTTTGCTTGTGCTAGACTTGGTGTTTTCTGATTGTGTGTAGGTGGTGCATGACCCGGAGCAAACCGACACCCTTGCTACCACTTGATGAGGACATAAACCGAACTCTCCGACTCCTAGAAAGGGAGAGAGAGCTAGCCGAGGCAATGAGAAGGAGTGAAAGAGGGGGACAACAATTGAGTCCCGGTGTTAGTGGAGAAGGAGTTGAATAAGTCGAAGTTGAATCTGTCGTTGAAGAGGAAATGACGGGGAACCAAAGACAAGATGGAGGCGCTCAAGCCCGCCATATGAATGAGGCGGCGGGAGAAGAAGGAGCCCCGAGGACGATGGGGTACTATATGGCCCCAAGGCCGGCGGACATTCAATCGCCGATCCTACATCCTCCGTAGGCGGCAAACAATTTCGAGATCAAGCCGGCTCTAGTGACTATGATACAAAGTAATGCCCTATTCCACGACCATGAAAGCGAGTAACCAAGATTGCACGTGCAGAGATTCTTGGAACTCGCGGGGAGCTTGAAAATTAATGGTGTGCCAGCTGAAGCTTTGCAACTAAGGCTTTTCCTGTACTCACTCTCGGGAAGGAACTTAGGTGGTTAAACAACCGCCCACCTCGGTCTATCACCTCATGGGACGACATCCTCAACAAGTTTATGGCTCGTTATTCCCCGCCTTCGAAGACGGCGGAGTGGAGAAAGAAGATTACACATTTCGAGCAAGAAGATGACGAGACCTTGAGGGATGCTTGTGAGAGGTACTCCGATTACTTTCTTCAGTGCCCTCACCACGGGTTTGAGGAACAGTTTTGGATTGAAACCTTCTACGGAGGCCTAATGCAAGAAGATAAGATCCTCATTGACTCCTTGTGTCAAGGGAAGTTGATGAATATGGCTCCGCCCCAAATAACCGAGATCCTTGAAGATATGGCCCTTAGGGGGTATGATTGGGGGTTGACTAGAAGTGGAAGAAGAAGAAATGATAGGGGAGTGAGAAGCGTGGGAGCGAGTGCTCCGCTTGAGGCAAAGCTGGATAAGTTGCTTGAGGTTATGCTTGAAGATAAAAGGCAAGGAAAACGGGCGGTAATGTCGTGCGACTGGTGCTCGAGTACTAGCCACGAGATGGCGAAGTGTCATGCAATGAAGGAGGCAACCACT